CCGCGCTCCTAGCTCTCCGCCGTGTCCCGCTCCAGCACGCCCGCACGCCGGCCTACGTGTCCGGCTCTCGCCCGCTGACCGCGCGCAACTTCTGCACCTCTTGCCCCGAGTCTTTAATGGAAGTTGGGTGAGAACCGGCTCGTGTTCATTCATGCCCCGCGCTGACGTCACCAAAGCCACGCCCTCAGGAATGTCTTTAAAGGGGCCGGGCTGGCACCGGGAGAGAAGGGAGGGGAAGTCCCGAAAGGTTTGGGGGAAGATCGTGGGGCCCTTTGGATTCGCTTGCGCCCCTCAAGCCCTCCAACGTTTGAGAGCCTCAAAGAGCCAGCGCCCCCAGGGCTAGTAGTCCTCTGGGATCTCTGAGCCGGGATCTTCCGCCCTGGCACAGGGGGCGTTTTGCGCTTAGCCATCCTTACTCTCGCCCTTTGCCCTCTGAGACCAGGCTCAAGGTTGGCCTGAATGAAGGGTTGAGCTGAAATGAGCTAGGGGCCAAAAAGCAGCTGCCTCCTTAGCAGCATGCCTAGATGGGGGAGCTGCAAAGTAGACCCGGATGTTCCTCTTCCAGGACCTCTGAAGTAGGGAAGAGCATCTCTGCTCAGACGCCTCTAAAGAGATAGTAACCTCGGAGCAGCCACCTCTAGACACTTGTCAGACATGCATTATCTCATCTAATTCTCATCTGGGAGGTAGATATCATTATCCCCATTTTACAGAAGAGGAAACGCGTTCTGAGGGTTTAACATGCCCAAAGGTTGCACAGCCCAAAGGTAATAGAGCCAAGATCTGAATCTGAGTAGTCTCTGCTTTAACCACTGCCCCAAAATGGGGAAGGGTAGGCAAGGGGCTGTTGTGTAGAGCACATACCCCGTGACCCTGGCATGGCAGAATCAGTTGGTCTGACACTTTGGAGGACACCTGCCTTCCATCTGCCCCTTCAAGGGTCCTCTCCCCAAAGGTTCCTCAGACACGAGGTCATCTTCCCTTCTGATGAAAGCACTGGCAGCAGTGAAACAAATGGGAAATGTTCTCTGGCCCGCTGGCTTGGCCACCCACAGCTGCAACTGTTGCCCAACAGGCTTTTAGCCAGTCCAGGAGGAGCAGCTGTAGCAGGCGTGAATTCCTGGGAGGATCCAGCCCCCTATGCCCACCTCCTCCTTTCAGACCTCATCCTCTCCTTGACTCCCCTGGACCTGCTGGCCCAATAGCTTCACTGGACGGCTCTTGTACCCAGGTCCTCCCTGCCAGATGTGGACATCTCGGCCTCTTGGCCTTGGCGCCTACCCCTCCATAAGCGGGTCCAGGCATCTAACCTGCAGTGGGGGAGGGTTAATTACAGGTATTGGGATAGTGTGATTAAAGCCTTTGACAAGATGGTGGGAGGAGAGTCCTGTTCTTCTGACAATGTGTGAGTGTGCGAGTGTTCATGAGAGAGTGTGTGTGTGTGTGTGTGGACGTGTTGGTGTATGCATGTGTGTATATGCTGGTGTGTGGATATGTTGGTGTGTGTGTGAATGTATTGATGTATGTGTGTGTGTGAATGCATGTGTGGTGTTTATGTGTGCGGATGTGTTGGTGTGTGAGTGTGTGTGGACATATTGGTGTGCGAGTGTGAGCATGTGTGCGCAGGGGAGGATTTGTGTGTGAGTGTGCCATACTTGGCAGTGGTCAAGAACATAGACCGAGAAGGCAGCTTGCAGTTTTTGGACATCTCACTCCTTAGAGCTTCAGTTCGCTCACCTGGAAGATGTCTAAACCTCCTTCAGAGGGTTATTGTGAAGATCAAATAAGGTCATGCATGAAAACCATATG